TATGGTTTGGGCCATAGAGCCCAAGGAGGGGAGCAGGATATAAGAAGATCGAAAGGGAGCAATAGGCCAGGTTGTAAAGAGCTTTGAAGGGGCAGCTAGGTGGCACAGTGGATAAAACTCCGACCTTGGAGTCAGGAGGACCTGAGTTCAAATCTGACCTCAGACACATGACACTTACTAGCTGTGTGACCCTGAGCAAGTCACTTAACCCCGATTGCCTCACCAAAAAAAAAACAAAACAAAGCAAAAAAAACAACTTTGAATGACAAACAAAGGACTTGATATTTGATCCTGGAGTTCATTGTACAAGAGGGTGACATGGTCAGAAGTACACTTTAGAAAAAAATCACTTTGGCAGCTGAGTAGAGGGTGAATTGCAGAGAGGAGAGGCTTGAAGCAGAGAAACCACTTAGATGACTACTGATTGTAATAGTCCAGAGAAGAGGGAGATGATGAGGGCCTGAGTAAAAGAAGGGGGATATATTCAAGAGATATTGTAGAGCAGCCATTCTCCAAGGGTGGTCCTGGGGTCCCTGGTGGTCCCTGAGACCCTTACAGGGAATCCATATGATCAAAACTATTTTCACAGTAATACTAAGACATTTTGATTTCCAATATGGTAAATATCTCTAGATAGATACTATGGAAACAAAAGTTCTTTGGGGTCCTTGATTTTTAAGAATATAAAGGGGTCCTGAGACTAAAAAGTTTGAGAACTGCTGTGGTCAAGAAAGAAATAACAAGATTTTGCAAGAAATGGGGATAGGGTGGGAAGGAAGGAGGAGTCAAAGAAAAAAGTCAAGGATGACACTGTGATTTTGAAACTGGGTGTCTGGAAGGATGCTTGACAGGAATTGGGAAATTCAGAAGAAGGAAAGGTTTGGCGGGGGAAGATGATAAATTCTCTTTTAGGCATGTTGAGTTTAAAAGGCCTACAGGACATTCAGTTCAAAATATGCAAAAAAATAATTGCAGCAGAGAGACAAGGGCTACATAAAGAGATCTGGGAATTATCAGTATAGAAATGATGGTTTGCACTAATGTGAGCTGATAAGATCACCAAGTAAGAAAAAATGGGGGGGGGGGGGGAAGAGGACTGAGGACAGAGCCTCAGGGGAAGCCTACAGTTGGAAGTACATAGTAAGCTCATTGATTGATTGATTTGGTCTAATTCATGTGCTTGAAGACCTTCAAGAAGAATGAAGCCACCACCTCCAGAAATAGTTCAGGAGTTTTAGATGATTCTAATTGTTAGGAAGGAGCAGCTAGGCCGTACAGTATAGCGGGCCAGTCCTGGACTCCTCTTCCTGAGTTTAAATGTGGCCTCAGACACTTACTAGTTGTGTGGGCAAGTCACTTAACCCTGTTTGCCTCAGTTAATGGCAAACTACTCCAGCACCTTTGCCAAGAAAGCCCCAAAATGGACCACGAAAGGTCAGGTACATGTGAAAAATGACTAAACAACAAGTTTTTGTTGTGATGCTAATATCACAAAACTAACCACCCAAAGTAGACTCATTGAGACTCCTGGGACATCTGTCCATAAAACAAATAGCTGATATATATATGGTGCTTTGAGATTCACAATCAATCAATAAACATTTCAAGAGCCTACTATGTGTCAGCACTTTATGTAAGTTACCTTATTTAATCTACTTAATAATCCATGAGGTAGATACAATGGGTATTTTTATTTTAAAATTTTATAGATGAGGAAAGATGAGCCCAAGGTTAGTAAGCATCAGAGGAAGGATTCAGACCCAGGATTCGCCAGACCCCAAGTCTATGTTATACCTCTGTATGCCTACCACCAACCCCATAAACACATACATTCAAGGGATAAGGTTACATTCTATAAAATACCAGTTTATTGGTATCTTAATAATAGATTTTGGTGATAGATGAATATAAGAAGTCTTAAGCACTATAGAACTGGGTGGGAACATTTCTGCAGAGAGTAATGGGTGGAAACATTCCTCCTTTCCTTCTCCCCTGCACCAGGGCCCAGCTGGGGCTTGGTCTTTCCCCTTCTGAGGCCCTCTGGATTGTGCTGGGATGGATAGTGCTTGACAAACCTGAACATGTTTTGGTTTGGGGTTTGGCAAATTCTGGGTCTCCAAAGTATTTCACAAATGTTTTGTGTTCAGTAAAACCAAAAGACATTGGCCAAGCACCTTCCCCCCTAATTTTTAAGCCCATGTGTTTTTAAGAGAAATTTAATCCGTATGTTTCTGGTACATTTATATGTAACTCATCAAATATTCTTTTGTACAAACTGCTTCATGTTGAAGATGCCTTGGGAGATTCTTAAATTTTTAAAGACTTTCTGTTAATATCAAGAATCTGTTTAATAGGTGGGGCACAGGGCACAAACTGGTCACTAGGGGATAGGTAGCCTGGGGTCTGACCCTTTCTCCATCCCTGACACATTGAGAGGGTTTTTTTTTTAAGTTTCTATTATTTTGTGCCATACACACACAAAATCAGTAGAGTGTAGTAAAGACCTAGTCTCAAAGCAGTGTGGTATAGAGTATAAAGAGTCAGCCTCCGAGCCTGAAAGATCTAGTTCAAATTCTGCCTTGGATATATACTGGCCGTTTGACCCAGGACAAATCACTTAAACTCTCACTGACTTACACAGCTCTCTAAGATTATGTCACAGAATGCAGAAAATAATTGTAATGTTTGGAACAGAAACTTTAAAAAGTTAAAAGGTAGACAAAACCCAGGCCACGTAGTTAGAAAAGAGCTGTACCTTAGAGTTTCTTAGACCTATTTTGGGCAGGAGGGTAGGGGGAGTGGGTTTGGAGAGGAGGGAGTATATATTACATGGGGATGGTTGGGATAAGAGGAAAAATTGCATCATCCAGTTAACTGAGTTTGAGACACTGGAAGAGACCAGGGGCTGAAAAATGGCACATAAAATGGTGTTGTGCGGTCTGCAGAGGTCAAGGCCCAGGGCCCTGGAGACATTTTGAATGACACCATCACCCAGCTCCTTTTAGATGGAGGCCTCAGGCAAGAACACCACTAAGTTGCTTTTGGATATGTTTTGGCCTACTGGGGTTCTGGGAGGAGAGACAGAACTTTTCCACTGCTTACAATGGGGCATATGTGTGTGCAAAGCTCCTAACAACTCTACCAGATACTCAGGCAAAGAAGATGGCAATTTGTGTGGCCTTAGTTCTGCAACAGCTAAAAAACAGAGCTGAAACAACCAGGAGGATTTAAGACTGATGGAAACCCAAGCTCCTGTTTGGTACAAGGATTCTGACTATATCTCTCCATTTGAGGTACCTCCAAAGCCAATCTGTGGAAATATAGGTAGATTTAAAAGATAAATTGGTGGGGGAGAGGCAGGGGGTGATGATTTGCTTTACAGATCATAGAATTATGAACTTCAGAGATCTTCTATTTCAGGGGATCTTCACCTTTTTTGTACAGTGGACCCTTTGGCAGAGTGGTGAAATCTATGGGCCCTTTTTGAAAATAATATCTTTAAAATGCATAAAATAAAATACATGGAATTACAAAGGAAACCAATTAGTTATCAAAATTTTTTTGAAGTTCATTGACCCCAGGTTAAGAACCCCTGAGTTGAAGCAAAGGGGCCAACATGCATTGCTAAATGAAGTTTTCCCATCTAGGAGTCTCCTATACCTGTACAATAACAGGTACACTCACTTTCCTCATCTGCAAAATGAGATGAATACTATCTTCTTCCCTTCTGTCTCATAAATAAGTGTGACTCCTAAATCATTTGTGTTTTCTAAGGAGAATGTTATGTGGGTAGTACAACTACAAACAGGAGCTGTGTATCAAAGAGTTTATTTTCAGCCGGGTACTCAGAGCAGTGGATGCTTGAGTGGTTTCTAACTTTAGAAATTCATTCTTGCCCAGTCATTGACACTGTTGACTATCTGGGAGTATCCTGTGACTCTAGGCTCATTTTACCTGCAGTCTTCCCTGATAAGTAAAGTTTGCCTAGCTCTCTTTCTTTGTCTGGGATAATTCTGGTGGTATCCTCAAGTTGGGTAAGAAAGGGTGCTAAGAATTCAAAGAGAGTGCTAACCCAGTATTCCATATGTGTAAGGAAATATAGAAAAAACTAGAGAAGGTCCAAAAAAGTGTCTTGAAAATGTTTAAATTAATGGAAAGTTATTCCTCTGAAGAAAGTTTAGGAATCATAAGGGCGAGGGTTTCAGAGAAACCTGGTAAGGCTTGTATGAACTGATGCAGAGTGAAGTGAGCAGAATCAAATGGACAAGTTATTATATAACAATGCTATTGCAAAGACAAACAGCTTTGAAAGACTTGGGAACTCGGATCAGTGTTATATTCTAGTAATTATAATCACTGAGCAAAAAAAAAATTCACTTTCACTAGTAGTTGATCACCACCTAATTAGCTCTGCAAGGCTAAATCACTCAGAACAAATATCTCTGCACCTAGAAGGAAGCATAGGACTGAATGACTATCTGGCATATTTAGGCTGTAATAATAAAGGAATCTATCTACCCAGTTGCAGGTTTAGTGGTCACTGCTTCAACTTCCTATTTTTTTTTCCTTTGTGGGTTTTTGTAACATGAACATTTTAACATACAAGGAAACCCAGAAAAGAAGATTGTCTATAAAACTATGAACGTCTATTATGTATAGTTTTTAAAGTGTATATTCCATCTAAATACAATAATTCCAAAGCTGCTCTGCTAGTCCGTATCTCCTTCTGAACTTTCTTCTCTCTTCTATATATTTTTCAAATGTTTAATTGAGACTACTTTCTTTTCTTCTTTTTCTGGCACTACGCTCATTCCTCATCTCCTTCCCCCACACCACCCTGAAGTTTCAATTTTCCACCTTATTTTTCCTTTATTAGTATGCTGCATCTGTGCTTTTAAAAACAGTTGGCCATTGACAAAGCCAGAGTAAGAAGGGGCAGGTGAGAGTGAAGTCACAGTAGAAAGAGATTTCAAAGAGCCCACTTTCCCAATTTTCCTTACCTGTTTCTCCCAGAATCCCTGAAGCCTTTAGCAAAGGGATTTCGATCAATTTTTAATCTGGTGATCTGGAGACAATAAAATAAAAGGCAAATTAGTACTTGTAATGTAGATTTCTTTTCCAATTATTCCTTTTTTGAAAAATCACCCCAAGTTTCATAGTTGACATAACAATTCATTTTCTTTTCAGGTTTTTTTCCAAGATAAAAAATTAGAAAACAGTCATACTTTTACCTGAAGACTGACCAAGAGATAAAGGACCCATGGGGCTGTGCATCTGTTCCTACCGTTAGAATTAGAGAATCCACTTTGTAATCCTGCCCCTGCCACTTAGAATCTGTGTGATTTTAAGCAAGTCACCTAAGCTCTCTGTACCTCCTCCTCCACCTCCCAAGGCAGTCTTCACAAAAGGCAAACTGGACCCAACCAGATACAAGAGGCACTTGCTTACTTAGGAGTGGGAAGTCCACTAGCCCTATTTCCTGTGTGGGGCAGAAATCCCTTCTGTGTTATCCTCATGTATTCCTCTAGTGCCTAGATTGGCAAAGTTGGACCAATAAATCCCACATGAATTCCAGTGTTTCCATTTTCAGCCATGGCCATGAGAGGCATGCTGATACTTAAGTGTCTGGACCAGATGTTAATGACTCATTATAGACAAACCCTTCAGGACCTGTGGGTTGGGGTGGGGAGTCAAGGGAAAAGGGGAGAGGCACACTGAATTTACTGTAATTCTAGAAATGAGGGAATAGCATCACTTTAGACTTTTTTCTGAGTTTTCTGCAAATTGTAGGACTTATCACTAGGACAGCTCATGTTGTTTCCTGTGTTGCAAATCTGCAAAGCTCTCCTCATCTCCTCTTCCGACCCGCTTCCCCACAGTGGAATTTCCCAAAGACACAGTCTTTAAAAGTCTTTAAAAGGCAACATGAGATCCTGACAACCAGACTCTAACATGAAAGAACCATGCTAGCTTTAAGGTGACTTTTTTTCCCTGAAACACTCCTTGCTCCAATATCACATGCTAATAACACAGTGCTAATAATGTAGTGAAAGAAAGCAATCCTGCCTCTGTTTTATGGAGCAGATCAGGAGCCTGAAAGTTTGGCTTTCTAAATCCCACTGTCTGCCACATGAAGACTGTAGTGAATTTAAAGAATGTCATTGCTTTTCTGTTCTTAACTTAAAATCAGCTCTTTCCTCCTCCATAATCCTCAGTAATAAACTACACACCATACTTTCTTTTCAAGTTGAGGTTATAATAGTCCATTCTCCCTTTCAAGTTGGCTTATGCCGTCAAACCCATTTAGGAGAGGGCATTCTGATATATGATTGGGCTGCCATACTGTTAGGTTCTCTGTGTCTCTAAGGACATTGTATATCATGGTTTCTGGAGAGCCAGCTGAAAGCTACCTACTCCTCAACTGTTTGCTCACAGCCCTAAAGGTGTTGGCGCACAAGGTTTAAAGGCAGCAACCATCAAACAGTGCAATAACTGGATTTTCCCATTTGTTCCAAGGCCTTTATCCGCGAAATCAAACGACTTGGCAAACAGTTGGCCAATGCCCCTCACCACAACTGAGCTTGCAAGTTGAATTTTACCCCAGCTTCCCATGGGCAGCTCATGGCAAAATGAACTGGGAGTCAGGAGGACTTGGGTTTAAATCCTACCTTGGAAATTTATGAGCTATGTGACCTTGGACAATCACTTCATCTCAGTACATCAGTCTTTTTATTTGTAAAATTGGAGTAATAATAGCACCTTCACGGGGTGTTCAGGACAATCAAAGATTTGTGTGTGTGTGTGTGTGTGTGTGTACATATATATATATATATATATATATATACACGTGAAAATCCTCTTTGATATATATATCTCACTTTGTAAACCTTAAAATGCCTAATAATAATAGAAATAGCAATAATAATACTAATAACTAGCCTTTATACATCACTTCAAAGTTTGCAACATGATTTATATATATTATCTCATTTGAAAAATCAAATTTTTATTCATACAAATAGGAGGGTTTTTTTCCTCAAAAATTACTTGGTCCATCAGCAATCGAGATGGTTAACACATTTCCAAAGTTAGCCCCACTAAGTGTGATCAGTGTATGCTGGGATGTAAAAATCATTGGTTCCTTGCCTGTCAGGGCCATCACAGCCTCAGGGAAATGGAACTAACCAATTCTTTGGGTGCCACTGAACTCTGCCATGAATGTTGAGGCAATGGAATGGTCTGACATGTCTTTCCTACCATAAACTAGATCCATGATGGACTTCCTAATCACCTAGAGTGACCTCACAGAAGTTTTGTTCAAGCTTCATCACATGGAAAACAGAGGCCTATCGAAGCATCCTCTTGAATTTCCATTGCATAAGCCTACTCTGTCTGGTATGAGCTGAGCTACCCTATGATGTTGGCTTGGCCACTATTCATTTTAAACCTTCAACTGAATTTGAAACCTAGCAGGGCTTCTTAGGAACAATGCCTGAATCACACAGCATGGTGTAAATGTTATCAGTCACATCTAAGGAGGAAATGGAAATCAGAAACATCAGAGTTTGATTTTCACAACACCAAAACTCAGAGGTTCCTTCCTTAATTAAAAGTTCTCTTTCTTCTTATGGCTAGCAATGTTTTGAAGGTTTCTTCTGGGCGATAAGAATGGCTCCACTCAGGAAGAAAGTAATTTTGCATGAATGTGTTTGAAAAGTTGGAATAAAATTGTCTGGATGGCTCAGGATATAAATGAACAACTCAAAAATTCTTTCGGATTTGCATACGAGCAACCCAGGCTGAGGTTCAAACTTACACAGGGCCAATTCTCATCAAAAAATAGAACTGTTACCTGAAGAGATCAGAGCTATATTTTTTAAAATCAAGTTTCCTGTTCACCAGAGAAGTCAAGGTTTATCTGTGGCTGTATACATACGTGTGTATGTGTGTGTGTGTGTGTGTGTCTGTGTGTGTGTGTTTTCCCCTGAAGAAAACTGGAAATGTGGATAACTAGTTTCTTATCTCAGCTTTGTCATTAAATATCCTTGTGGCCTGAGGCACAATATCAATTATCTTTAAAGGAAGCCAGATGGCTCAGTGGTAGTGCACTGGTCCTGAAGTCAGGAAGATGTGAGTTCAAATCTGGTTTCAGACACTTACTAGCTGTATGACCCAATTGCATAACCTTCATTTGCCTCGGCTTTCCCATCTCTAAAATGGGGATAATAATAGCACCTACCTCCCAGGGTTCTTGTGAGGATAAAATGATGTCATATTTGAAAAGATCTTTTTGAACTTTAAGGCACTCTATAAACGCTAACTACTAAGGTCCCTTCCATCTCTAGTAATCAAAGACACAGTCTTTGTGATGGAAACTTCCACCTTATCCAGTATTCAGGGTGGAGATATTGGCTCCATCCCCGACTAAGGAACAAGAGTAGAGTATGAAGTCACTTCTACCCCCTCCTCTACAATTTTACTCTCCACAATGAAATTCTGGGCAAGGCCTAAGACTTCCTCTCTGCCTGCCTAGCTTCTGCCAAATTGGCCCTCTGTGAGCAAATAACAGTAGTACTGAATCCTCTCTGACTGCTTAGCTCAGGGAAGCCGAATAGGGGGAGGGGGTAAGTTTAGACGTGGGGCTGGAGGGAAGAGGGGGGAGGTAGTGAGGAGACGGGGTTGAAAAACATTCCACTGAAATAAAAACACTTCCTTCCCCCTCTTAGAGTCAAATGACATGAGGCAGTGATAGAACGCCGGGCACTTGATTCTGAGGTGTGGCCTAGTAAAAACTGTACAGGGCTAGGACTCTATGAGGATGAGAGAAAACCACTGACTCAGACAGTCAGTATTTCTTTGCTGTTGATGGCTTCTGTCTGATGGCATTCAATAATTCTCAGTCCTCTGCCGTGGCGCCGAGAAAGTGGAAGAAGAGAGGTTCTAGAGGGAGATGCTGCAATTTCTCCTCTGCCTTGCTGCCTCTGTTTTCCTCTCCCAAACAGGCCTTTAAGGGTATCTTCTCTCCTACCACCCATCCCCAACCCCAAAGTCATTTTAAAAGGAGGAAGCTTCTTCCATTTAAAAACATCTTTTCCACTCTAAGATGCAGAAAAATCTTTGCACAGAAAAGCTAGTTTGAAATGGATAAGACGGCTTAACTTGTAGGACTACTCATTTTGCAAATAGTGAAAATGGTACCCTATACATAAGGTCATTTCTAGTGCTTCAGGCCTTGTCTCACAGCCTAAATATTATCATAGGATAAATATTAAGAGAGTAGAAGTACAAAGATCATAGTCTTTAAAAGACTTTCAGGGGCCAAACCAGGAGTGATTACAGATAAGAGGCTTTTCTTTCTTTAAAAAGTATAATAAGGAACTCTAGAGCACTATATTAAGCTGTTATCTAAATAGCCAAATTAAGAAAGGAGATATGCTGTATGCTTCCAACTAATTTTATAAACACAATCCTCTTTGTTGACCCAAGTATTCATCCCATGAAAATGTAAAACTCTTAATCCCCATAAGAGCTAAGGAATTTCTATTCAACCACCTTCTCTTTTTATCATGGAGGCTTGGTCATCAAGACTCCAGTGGAAAAGTAAAGTACTAATCAAAAAAGGTAGTGAGTATTCTATCTAGCATTAGTTAAATCTGTCTGAAGCAGACCCCCAGTTTTGAATTTATAAACAAGGTGAGTTGAGAGGTGGTTATTATTATTATTTTTATTTACAAAAAAATTCAGTAGAGGGACACTCTAAGTAGACAGATGCTCGGAAAAGGAAAAAATCTGAAGCAAGTTGCAGAAAGGTGATATTTCAGAAACAGGAGAATGTAAGCTCCTTTTTTTTCATTTTGTCTTTGTATCAGTAGCACCTAGATCATGGGTGGGGAATCTGCGGCCTCAAGGCCACATGTGGCCCTCTAGGTCCTCAAGTGCACCCTTCAGTCAAAGGGCCCCTGGATCAAACCATACCTGGAAAAGTACTCTCCCCTATAACATACCCAACCTTTGCCTTAAAACCTCCAATGAAAGAGTATGACTACCTCTCAAGGCAACCCTTTCCTCTTTGGGATAATTCTAATCATTAGAAAAAAAATTTATTCCCTTTTGCTCTGAGGTTAAATTTGTCTCTGCAATGTCTACCCATTGCTCCACAAACAAGCAGCTGATCTAATACTCTTTGAAGCTGATGAGAAAGCAACCAACCAGAACTGAGACATTCTTTGCCTTAAAGAAATGGCCGTCTCTCATTCTAGCCCTGAAATTCTCAAAATAGATAAAGCATGTAGATGGAAGTTGGACAGGAAAACTTCAACTCTTTTCAATTTTATGGAATGTATACATGGAGGAACAAGGAGATTGTGCATATAAAACAACTTAGAACCATAAAGCACTTCACCCGCTTTCTCAATTTGCCTTTTTAGATATAACATGATACAGTAGTGGTTCTTTACAGTAGAAACTTCCTTTTAAAAAATGAAAAGCCTCTTGCAAGACCCCTTTTTCAGCAACAACCTGCCTTAGAATTCAGCTAAATAACTTTCCAATTACACCTGACCTTTTCTAATGGTGCAAGCATACTGGAAGTCCACCTGGCAAATCTCACTCATTCAAATAGACACTAGGCTAGGAGCAAGGGGGTGAAGATTACATTCTTCATTGAACTTATCCTCTGCCCCCTTCAGTGGCACCACCATCCTCCACTTTATCAAGATTTCAAACCTTGGAGTCTTAATTTTTTTAATCACATATGGCTAATTATCCATCAAATCCTATTGCTTCTTCCTTTAAAATTTTTCTCTTGTCTGACCTGTCCTCTACATTCCTACTGCAACACCCCCCCAACCCAGTTTCTCATATTTGGAAGAATACAATAGCCTCCTAACTCATTTATTTTCCTTCAGTTCCTCCTTCCTCCAATTCATCCTATAACCTAGAGCATTACCAGACTAATCTAAAAAAAATTAGCTCTTATCTTTTCTCTCCATTGTTCAAAATTTAACAGAGCCTCCCATTGCCTAAAAAGAAAGTCAAAACTCCACAGACTTAAGTTCTTTTTCTTGATTGTCTAGACTTGAGAAACTGATGGAGAAGATGTTAATAATATAAATTAGAGGCAACTAGGTGGCATAGTGGATGGGGCAACTAGGTGGCATAGTGGATAGAGCAACAGACCTGAGTTCAAATTCAGCCTCAGACACATAATACTTACTAGCTGTGTGACTTTGGGCAAGTCATTTAACCCCAATTGCCTCGGAAAAAAATAATAAATTAAACTTAAAGGTGGGTCATGTGTATTTATTTTTTTCCTGGAGAACCAATTACTAAATATTTACCAGCACACCATTCTCCTGCTGAATTGACAGTGAGTCATTAATAGCCATGCTTTGAGTCTAAGCATTCAACCAATACAGAATCAATTCAATTTTATTATTATATAGTCCATATTTCTCCATCCTCTCCCCAAAATAGTATGGGCTAGTTCATCAAGGGTTTTGTTAAAACTTAGGAGACAGAAAGAAAGACAGACACAGAGAGGAGATAAAGAGAGAGAAGGAGGAGGGGAGAGTGAGAGAAGGAAGGAAGGTAGGTAGGTAGGTAGGTAGGTAGGTAGGTAGGTAGGAAGAAAGGAAGGAAGGAAGGAAGGAAGGAAGGAAGGAAGGAAGGAAGGAAGGAA